TATTCGCGTAACATGAGAAGATTTTAACTGACAGATCAGAGGGTCGATCAGTTACGTAATGCACGTCTTCTGACCTATCACCCGAAAAACACGCAGACAGACAAATGATAAATCTCAATGTGTAAGTATGACTATAACACGTCAGCATGTGATAGAATTATCAAAAACCACCATCTTTCAGAAGATACCGACCACAGGCTGGCTTATGATGGGAAAATGAACAGACGGGAGTTCAGCGGGAGCCATTTCGTTGACTCCGTAAGTGACATTAGTTAACATTATAGCTGTTGCAATATTGACGCAATTCTCCAGCAATATTTTAAAGATTTGTTTAGTTGTAAACGTTTCGCGGCTTATGTTCATGCAAATTAAAGTGTTGACTTGACCCTGTGATATAAAAGAAGGACTATTTTCGTGATATGATCATGATACATCAATATAAAGTTAACAGTGGTGTAACATCTTGCTTCCGTTATACTGGATATCATCAAAACACGGCAAGCCATTATAATAGTGAAGCAGGGCCTTTAGCCACACCGTTGTTACTACCTATTAAACAAACCAAATGATGTCCTTATTCTTATCCCTCTAGATAATCACATATTGCAGCCTAATAAACAACTCCATTAAACAGAAATGACGCGGAAACTTCGAAGGGTCATTGACGCCTGATAGGAATTTGATGCTTGACATTTACCAACCGTTTCCTCCAAACAAAATGGCTGGTAATTGGGGGAAAAACATATTAACATATATGATCACTCAGGTATATGTACTTGAAACCGATAAATTAATTTTGATGGTTGATTAGTGGATGCCAAAAATTATTAATCTTGTGAACTCCTTTTGTTAGATCAAAACATCGGATTACAATGGGAGAGGGTCACTACTCAATCCAAAAAATACCGGTACTGAAATCACATCATCTGTCCGTAAAGGAAAACTCCGTCGCTTATCAATCATATCAGAATTATGATCCTTTGGTTTTCGCAAGGTTAGGTCGCATCGGGATTCCGAGGACAAAACCATAGCCCGAATGATTAAAACAGACGCTATTTAACGCCGTTTGTCTGGATGTTGGGATATGGATCAGACCGATGACTATCACACAAGAGCAGGCAAACCAAAGACATTGCTGTTGATGTTACACAAAGACAAGATCAGCGCAACCAATAAAAGTAACCGCAAACATGTTATACTACGAATTCCCATTGGTGAAGTTATCGGTTTCACCCGTGAAGAAGAGTTACAAAAGACTATATCAGATATCCGTTTGGATTGATGGCTTTGTTATCTGCTAGGAATTAAGAATGTATCTTTTATCATGTGAAATGACAGATATGATCTGATATACTCCCTATGAGGCATTGACCACAGAAATCCTTTACTAGACAATGACCTGGTACCCTCTAGTTTTTCGACTTTAAATCATGTTACAGTCATTAATTCAAAGATAATTCCTCACAGTACTGAAGTGATAATATCTCGATTCACAAAAAAAACCAAGGTAAAAAGAGGGTGCGTAAGTGTTAATCATAATACCCTACAAAGCACCACGGGTTAATGGGATCACACGTTCCTTGTAATAACCAATTTTTGTATTTCGATCAATGATATTAATATATTTTACTAAGACATACAATAGTCACAAATGAACCATTGATGGACATTAACGTACAGGTACATGAAGTGAAATTAATCCATGGCACTTCTATTTGATAAATGCAGAAAATCTAAATCGACACACAGAGATGAAGTTAATTTGATATTTTTTATATCTTCACGTACATTATTTGAAAAATAAACAAATCAATAGATAAACCTGGATGCTAAAGCTTGTCAAATGTACATATATAATAGAAGGATGCTTTTTCCAATCAAACTATTTTCGTGTTTTTTAAAAATCTTGAATACGGCCACAGATTAATATTGTTTAGATTAAAAGGGAGAAATTGAAAATGAATACAAAACAAGACAAGCTATATTATAAATCCGCAATTCGGCACAAGGTCTAGACACGTAACAATGGTATAGAAAAAACACGAACTATACATAGTAATAGAAAATAAAAGATGGATCGTCTTGACATCACCTTGTAAAAATTCTCGATAGATCATTTACAAACAAGGATTAAGACATCCTCTTATTTCATTCAGTAACGCGTAATAAATGAGATACTGTATCGATGGCCTCCGATCACGTGATCGGTATATCAAATGATGATGTATCTACACGAGGGAATTCCCCAGAAATATTGGTTTTATGTACTATAGTGTATCATTACTATCGTTTCCAGTCGTCAACTGTTCATTTAACTTTTTATCGCTGCCTGGGACATGTGAACATGTCATGCAGGCTCAGTATAGGACAGAAATGTTTAATTAAACCCCAGGGTTCAAGGAAGACAATAAAATGTATTTCGTGTTAAATCTCGTTAGTTGTCTGTGTTCAGTTGTATACCTTGTTCAAAGATTATATGACGGGTGTCGTCGATGAAGCAGAAGACGCTCACTTTTCCGAAACACCTGGGTCCGTATTCACGAAACCATTCTCATGCCCAAGCATAGATTTTGTGCTCAAGCAAACTTTTTTTATAATTCATCTAAATAATATAAAATAATACAAATGTCAAATATAAACATTGAATATAGCTTTGACTTGAAGTCCTTTCAAAATTGTTTCTAAATCTTTGGTAAAATCAGCCTTATTTATCAATTTTTAACTTCGACAAGACATAAGGCTTGAGTACAAAATGCATGCTTGAGTATGAGAACGGCTTCATGAATACAGGCCCTGGTCTCATTCTCCTTGAAATTTTTCAGTAGTATCACTTGTAAATCGCTCTTGATCCATAGTTGCTCTTGTTTTATTGATTTTTAAGTTGGGATTATGATTACGTTGATATGTCGGAACTTAATTGTTTTTTACCTTAAATTACCTGATCGTTCAATCCTCTTATTGTAACCCTGCATTCTATTTTGCAGATTGTTAGAGTATTTTCATGTAGAAGGGCCATAGAATACGTTAATTAAGAAAATGGTTATGTAGTTGGTTTTGCTTATTTGATAAATTGTGAATAGATCGCGTCGTGTCCGTGCTATTGTACATATCAAAGTAAGTCATTCGTGGCACGTTTTACCTGTGCGCGCGAGTGCTATTTCGGGGTGTAACTGACTTTGCCTGTGTGGTAGTGGTCACGTGTGATAGTTCTGACGGACTTTGACGAAGTTGTTTGATTGGTCGAAAGGTTTTTTTTTCGACTGTATTTACGTTTCTTTTGTGTTCTGACACTCTTGAATTTGTCTTTGTTGGAGGTCTTTATTACAAGTGGTAAGACAGTCATATTTTGGTTTCATTTCTACTTTGAGTATTTCCCCGTGTGGTTTATTGAGTGAGCAAATAATGCTATTGCTATTCGTTTTCCATGGGTAATGTAATCAACGTCTATCGGATGTGACATGCGTTAACGCACGATGTTGTAAGTGTGTTGTTTTGTTTACTGGAATTAACAAGTATTCGATCTATTTGATTTGTGCAAATGAAAGTAAAATAAAACCATTAAACTATTTCTCTTACATAGTCAGTAATTCGTCTAATAGCAGGTGCGCTATGTATGTGTTGTGAGAGAAATGTGGCGTTCAGTAAAGCTTATCGTCTTTTATTGTTTGTTTCGGAATGGTTCTTTTAAATCTTTCGATCGAATAAATGTGAAGAGTGAACACATTGACTTTGTCGTCATTAGACACATATAATCCGCTACATGTATAAAAATACACCGGTGCTATCTGTACGTTTATTTTTTTTTATATTGCTACAAATAACAAAGACGCACATTACAATACACAGCGTATCACGTCAAGATGGGGTATCCTTCTAAGGTTAAAGAAAGCAATTACGGTCTACATGTACGACTTTTCGGCAGAAACCTTTGTTCCGTTTTTCTAAATTTCGCAGTTATTGAAATGCTGAAGCGATCCAATAATGACAGACGTATATAAGCACTATTTAAATCGATTACTACAAGCATGTGGCTAACTTAATACAGAAAGACTACACTGTATAGGATAATCATGGAAACTGTTTGTAGAAAAGACATCGTAGAAGTAGAAGTCATTTTAGAATATCAATTTTTCTGTACATTATTAGGTACAGGATAAATAACTAAGTATATACTGTATGTACATACCGCTAATACCTCAGGCGTCTTGTAATTCTGTTTATTTATATACATGTAGTATTTAAGTAGCATTGTTTTATCACTTAATAATATACCTCCCATGCCTACATTGAGTAAATCCATTTCTAATATAATCATAATTACTGGTAGAGATCTGCTTGGTTTTCATGACGTTCCATCATAACAATAAACGTAAGTATATTCAATATGCTTGGATTCTATAATTAGACGATAGTGTGCTTCATTATCTGGTTAAGATATTAATTTATGAATTATTTAAGTATTATCTATTTTGGTATACTCAGCGGTAACGATATGAAAAAAAAGATTGTTGCAAAATTATTACAGCTACAAGTTATAACGAGGCATCAGCGAGGAAAAAAGGAAATCACACATAGAGAACAGCGGGATTATGTACCTAATGAATACAGTGGCACGTGGATTATATGAAACTTACTATAATTGCTTTTTCTTCGGCTTTCCATTTAATTTTATTAATGTCTTTTCTTGTATCCAAAGCTAGGGATAGAGAACATAATTAGACTGGTATGTGTCCATGTAATACATCTAGCTCTTTAATGGTGTTTTCTTGAATGGAGCCGATTGGAAGACACATCCCCAGTGTAATTAATATGTACATTGAAAACAGCACCTAAATGAGACTTTATGTGAACATCCGCATTCTGTTTTCTTTCCACTGAAAAAAAATCTCGACTGAATATTTCTGTGATAATATCAAGCTACTTTGTCAGTTATAAAAAGCAGTTGTAGTAGATATATTTTTGAAGTAATTAAAAAAGTTGGAGGTGAAATTTTTACTTACCGCAATAGGTGTCTTCAATGGACGCAATATCGCCTGGTGACGGTCAATGGCAATGACCACTAACATATTTGTACTAGCCATCAGAGTGAAACTCTGACAAAACTTTACCATCTTACAGAGAAATGCCCCAGCTCTCCATTCTCGATTGTCCTGGTATTCCCATATCAGCTGGGTCAGAACTGCAAGGAACATTACAGCTAAATCAGCAATGGTCAGGTTAAGTATGAAACTGTTTACGCGTGACAGACTGTTCATCCTAGTCTTTAGACGGCGGTTGTTGGACATCCACGCTAACACCATGATGCCTCCGAGTGTCCCTAGGATCAAAGTTATGTACAAGTTGATGATCCTGATTTTTTTGTTGTACTCTTTATCGTGAACAGACCGGCATCTGGTGACGTTTCCAGTATCATTGGAAAATCCGAATGGGTCTATGGTGGTCATCAGATAGTCTATATCACTCATATTGGAGTTTTCTTGAACCATCCCGGACGAGTAAGAGTGCAGGGACATGGTGGACATTCTCTAAGTTATGACGTCAGAACCTGTCAACAAAGACATACCTACGTTTTATATAGTTGTTCTGTAGGTCATTATATAATAAATATATTGTGAGCATAGATATGCAAAATTGTATCGATGAATTTTAAAACATGCGGAGAAGAGGGAGGGGAGGGGATAATATGTTTCGATCTATTTTACTCCAATGATGTCATTTGGACAAGTTACAAGACCACGTGTTTCTTCTGTTTCTTAATCTGGGGATTCACGTTTTGAATTAACCAGTCGTGTTGGGATTGATGTAAATCTATAGTTGTCAGCAACCATGAAGGCGGTTTGTCTGAGATCATACCATCCAATCATTAGCATGTACAAAGTCTACTAGTTGGCAGCACGTGACATTTTGGATAATTTCCAATCCTATTTTCTCTAACAATACATATCACTTTTCTGGCACCCTATCAAGTACACTAACCTCCCAAACCCTGCTGTTTTATCATGTAAATAGCATAAATACGTGTGTGTTAGTCTTTTTTTGTTTTAATGACTACAATTCGCATGAACGAATTGTTACAATTTACCAACCGTCATGTGTTCAAGGTTAACCAGTTTAGAGTAGGAAAGTAATTTGAAAAATAAATTAAACTTGCCTCCAAACTCTGCTTTTATCTCCTTACCAGAACAAATAGAAATAAAAAAAAATCCACACAATGTATATAAACACGACGAAACCCCCAAATTTTCAGATCATAAAACGGGATTCCATTAATGGCGAATATACCTGACATTAAAAAAAGTCATGAGTTTAAAAGCTTTTCCAACACGGAGGTGACACAGCTCAATGTATATTAGTAGAACGAAAATTGCTAAGTAAGAAAAAGCCATCCCGTGTAAGACATTGACAAATGATAATGATATGAATTTATCAGAAAATCTAGTGAAGCTTTGAGTTAATTTGATATATATTACGATTCCATAGGTGAGATTACTTGCCACGAGATGACTGCCAGAAAGACCATAAATCTATCTCGCTACTGAAATCCTTTTCGATAGGTCTTGCGTTATGAAACTGCGGCTTTGGAAGCAGGAGTATTCGAGAATGAAAACAGATTTCAACACTCTAATTACGTATATAACACATCGTCTCGTTGGAAATGTAGCATATTTTGGTGAAACTAAACGAATTATAGGATTTGCTTTTCTGCAGACATATACCGACCAATCAAGCATATTTCGCCAACGGCCAATAACCAGTTTTATAGATACAAAATTGAACGGCTATTCTCATTTAATAATTTGATTCCTCTAAAATGTCCGATCAAGGTCGGCTACCGGCGCCAAGCCGGAAAAATCATTATTGAATCATCTCTCCAATTTCATCTTGTTTTAAGCGCAGTATTGAAGATCGCTGCAGTCGTTTACTGATTGCCCTACAACAAATGTCTGAAAACACTTTACACAGCAATGTCAGTCAATTGTCAAACACCAGTTAATATACCAACGATCAAAATGATTACAATATCTATATGATTAGTTGGTGACAATGTTCAAATATGATGATATGTTATGATTTCACGTGTCTTGTTTCTAACATGTCCTGTATGCATTCAGTTCTAGACGTGTCCTGTTTCGTATCCTGATGTCTTCCTATCCTTATTTCTACGTATTTTCTTTCTATTCTGTTTTTATAAATATCCCCATTTTCAACATATTCTGATTTCTACGTTTCATGATTTCAGTTTCTAGATATCAAGTTTTCTACATACAGTCATGTATCCTGTTTTTTTATTCTACGTATTTCGATTGATATATTTCTCGTTTTCTAAATATCTTGTTTTTCTCCATACCGTGTTTTCCATATATTCGCTTCTCCGTGAATCTACGGAAGGGAATTGAGGAAAAATAATACCAGACAGTGATGAAGAAAGACATTACCAGGGAGTGATGATGAAATACAGTACCAGGGAGTGATGATGAAATACAGAACCAGGGAGTGATGATGAAATACAGAACCAGGGAGTGATGATGAAATACAGTACAAGGGAGTGATGATGAAATACAGTACCAGGGAGTGATGATGAAATACAGAACCAGAGAGTGATGATGAAATACAGTATCAGGGAGTGATGATGAAATACAGAACCAGGAAGTGATGATGAAATACAGTACTAGGGATTGATGATGAAATACAGTACCAGAAAGTGATGATGAAATACAGAACCAGGGAATGATGATGAAATACAGAACCAGGGAGTGATGATGAAATACAGTACCAGGAAGTGATGATGAAATACAGTATAAGGGAGTGATGATGAAATACAGTATAAGGGAGTGATGATGAAATACAGTATAAGGGAGTGATGATGAAATACAGTACCAGACAGTGATGATGAAATACAGAACCAGGAAGTGATGATGAAATACAGAACCAGGGAGTGATGATGAAATACAGATCCAGGGAGTGATGATGAAATACAGAACCAGAAAGTGATGATGAAATACAGAACCAGGGAGTGGTGATGAAATACAGTTACAGGGAGTGATGATGAAATACAGTACTAGGGATTGATGATGAAATACAGTACCAGGGAGTGATGATGAAATACAGAACCCAAGAGTGATGATGAAATACATTACCAGAGAGTGATGATGAAATACAGATCCAGGGAGTGATGATGAAATACAGAACCAGGAAGTGATGATGAAATACATTAACAGGGAGTGATGGGGAAATACAGTTACAGAGAGTGATGATGAAATACAGAACCAGGGAGTGGTGATGAAATACAGTACTAGGCAGTGATGATGAAATACAGTACCAGGGAGTGATGATGAAATACAAAATCAGGGAGTGATGATGAAATACAGTACCAGGGGGTGATAACGAAATACAGAACCAGGGAATGATGATGAAATACAGAACCAGGGACTGGTGATGAAATACAGTACTAGGGATTGATGATGAAATACAGTTCAAGGGAGTGATGATGAAATACAGTACCAGGGAGTGGTGATGAAATACAGTACCAGGGAGTGATGATGAAATACAGAACCAGAGACTAATGATGAAATACAGAACCAGAGAATGATGATGAAATACAGAACCAGGGAGTGATGATGAAATACATAACCAGAGAATGATGATGAAATACAGAACCAGGGAGTGATGATGAAATACATTACCAGGGAGTGATGATGAAATACAGAACCCGGGAGTGATGATGAAATACATTACCAGAGAGTGATGATGAAATACAGAACCAAAGAGTGATAATGAAATACAGAACCAGGAAGTGATGATGAAATACAGTACCAGGGAGTGATAATGAAATACAGAACCAGGGAATGATGATGAAATACAGAACCAGGGAGTGGTGATGAAATACAGTACTAGGGATTGATGATGAAATACATTACCAGGGAGTGATGAGGAAATACAGTACCAAGGAGTGATGATGAAATACAGAACCAGGGAGTGGTGATGAAATACAGTACCAGGGAGTGATGATGAAATACAGTACCAGGGAGTGATAATGAAATACAGAACCAGGGAATGATGATGAAATACAGAACCAGGGAGTGGTGATGAAATACAGTACTAGGGATTGATGATGAAATACAGTACCAGGGATTGATGATGAAATACAGTTCAAGGGAGTGATGAGGAAATACAGTACCAGGGAGTGGTGATGAAATGCAGTACTAGGGATTGATGATGAAATACAGTACCAGGGAGTGATGTTGAAATACAGAACCAGAGAGTGATGTTGAAATACAGTACCAGGGAGTGATGAGGAAATACAGTACCAAGGAGTGATGATGAAATACAGAACCAGGGAGTGGTGATGAAATACAGTACCAGGGAGTGATAATGAAATACAGAACCAGGGAATGATGATGAAATACAGAACCAGGGAGTGGTGATGAAATACAGTACTAGGGATTGATGATGAAATACAGTACCAGGGATTGATGATGAAATACAGTTCAAGGGAGTGATGATGAAATACAGTACCAGGGAGTGGTGATGAAATGCAGTACTAGGGATTGATGATGAAATACAGTACCAGGGAGTGATGATGAAATACAGTATCAGGGAGTGATGATGAAATACAGTACCAGGGAGTGGTGATGAAATACAGTACTAGGGATTGATGATGAAATACAGTATCAGGGAGTGATGATGAAATACAGAACCAAAGAGTGATGATGAAACTTAGAACCAGAGACTGATGATGAAATACATTACCAGGGAGTGATGATGAAATACAGTATCAGGGAGTGATGATGAAATACATTACCAGGGATTGATGATGAAATACAGTATCAGGGAGTGATGATGAAATACAGAACCAAAGAGTGATGATGAAACTTAGAACCAGAGACTGATGATGAAATACATTACCAGGGAGTGATGATGAAATACAGAACCCGGGAGTGATGATGTAATACATTACCAGGGAGTGATGATGAAATACAGAACCCGGGAGTGATGATGAAATACATTACCAGAGAGTGATGATGAAATACAGAACCAAAGAGTGATGATGAAATACAGAGCCAGGAAGTGATGATGAAATACAGAACCAGGAAGTGATGAGGAAATACAGTACCAGGGAGTGATGATGAAATACAGTATCAGGGAGTGATGATGAAATACAGTACCAGGGAGTGATGTTGAAATACAGAACCAGAGAGTGATGTTGAAATACAGTACCAGGGAGTGATGATGAAATACAGTATAAGGGAGTGATGATGAAATACAGTACCAGATAGTGATGATGAAATACATTACCAGAGAGTGATGATGAAATACAGAACCAGGGAGTGATGATGAAATACAGTACCAGAGAGTGATGATGAAATACAGAACCAGGAAGTGATGAGGAAATACAGAACCAGGGAGTGATGATGAAATACAGTATCAGGGAGTGATGATGAAATACAGTACCAGAGAGTAATGATGAAATACAGTATCAGGGAGTGATGATGAAATACAGAACCAGGAAGTGATGATGAAA